GAGAAACATCGATCAGCTGCCTCCTGCACATCTCCTACTGGGGATGTGTCTGCAACCCAGGTACATGCCCTTGACCGGAATCGAACCTGGGACCCCTCAGTCCGCAGGCCGACGCTCTATCCACTGAGCCAAACCGGTTTCGGCCTCTTTGCCTTTTTGAGTCATTTATATGCCTGTCATTATGACCTCCTTTTGACTTATTATTTATACTTCCTTCCGTATTGCTCAGTCTTTTTTTTTTTTAAACGTATTTTATTGAATTTTTACAGAGAGGAAAGGAGAAGGATAGAGAGTTAGAAACATCAATGCGAGAGAACATCAATCAGCTGCCTCCTGCACACCCCCTACTGGGGATATGCCCGCAACAAAGGTATATTCTCCTGACCGGAATCGAACCTGGGACACTTGAGTCCACAGGCTGATGCTCTATTCACTGAGCCAAACCGGTTAGGGCCGTATTACTCAGTCTTGCTTGCCTCTTTGATTCATCTACAGGATAAAGAACCAGCTTTGGGTGGTCATTGATTCTCGGTGCTTTGCGTCTGTTTTCTGTGCCATTCATTTCTGCTGCAAATTTTCATCCTATTACTATCATTTGGTTTATTATTTTCTTTTTCTGAGTTCTAGAGTTAGATTCTTAATTTTTAGTTCCTCTGATAAGAGGCTCAGTTTTTTTCTATACATGCAGATATACAAACAAAGTGCATAAATATTAAGTGCAAGTTTTATGTACACATACGGAACCATTTCCAGATCACTTTCCAGATCAGGATGTGGAGTGTTGTCGGCACTCCAGAAGGAGCCTCCTGATGCCCCTACCAAGTCATTATGTTTACCCCCTTCTAGGAAGCCATGCTGTCATAGGTTAATCACAGATTATACACTAGTAGTCTCTAATGTTGTGGCTTAATCATACTGTGGTCAGATAACATTATGTGTTTTTTTTCTTTGTTAGAATTTATTTTGTGGTCTTGATTTGGGTTTGTTTTGCTCTATTAGCTCTTTGCAATGATCCTATTGAAGTTTGTTGCTCTTCTCAGATGTACAGGATTTAGATTTTCAATGAATTTAAGAACTCTTCAGCCATTGTCTCTTCAGATATTTTTTCCTTCTCCTTCTCCTCCCTTCTCCTGTTGGTCCTTCTGTTTTGTGTATAGTGATTCATTTGATGTGTCCCATTTTGCTGTCAGTGCGCTCTCATTTCTCCTCATTCTTTTCTTTTCTGTTCAAGTAGAAAACAATTTTAACTGAGTTTCTTGCCCTGGCAGTTCTTGAGCACTTGAGTTGTAGATTTGACTCCAGTCTTAAGTGAGGCATCGACCAATGGTGGTTGAATTTCTGAAGTTTTTGTAGACATTGCTACCCTGTTTAGAGACAGATGCTAACTTCTTTTTCATGTCCCTTTGTCTTTCAGTGAGCATGCATCCCTTTGGACACCACCTCCGCTTCATCCCTAGTTCCTTTCCCAAGCATCCGTAATATCTGCCAGCTTAAGGCTCTGAGTTCTCAGCTTCCTCCTTACTCTAACCATGGGCATTCTTCTTCTTCTCATCCCAGGTTATCTCTGCACCGAGTTTACTGTGTGTGCCTCAGTAGTGGACTGAATGGACTGTCTTCCCAAGCAGTAGCAGCAGCTTCTTGGGAGACTCATTCAAAACACATTCTGATTTTAAAATGGTTAATACATGCAGCAGACGCATCTTAGAATTGAGGAAAACTAAACTGTTTAGGCATCTTTTATTATTGATTTCATGAGAGGGAAAGATAGAAACATCAATGATGAAAGAGAGTCATTGATTGGCTGCCTTCTGCACACCCCCTGCTGGGGATTGAGCCTGCAACCTGGCATGTGCCCTTGACCAGAATTGAACCTTGGACCCTTCAGTCCGCAGGGTGACGCTCTATCCACTGAGCCAAACCAGTTAGGGCTTAGGTATCGTAAAAGCAGACACTTCCATGGGCTTTCCCCTGGAATCTGGCACTCTCCTCCTCTGTTCTAGCTGTCTAGGTTTGCAGCTAGGTGTGCCCTAGCCAGGTGTGCTTTGTCCTAACAGAGTCCTGTAGTGACCTCTTTTTTTTATTTTTTAATATATTTTATTGATTTTTTACAGAGAGGAAGGGAGAGGGATAGAGAGTTAGAAACATTGAGAGAAACATCGATCGGCTGCCTCCTGCACACCCCCTTACTGGGGATGTGCCCACAACCAAGGTACATGCCCTTGACCAGAATCGAACCTGGGACCCTTCAGTCTGCAGGCCGACGCTCTATCCACTGAGCCAAACCAGTCAGGACTGTAGTGACCTCTCTTGAACAGCACTCACAGGAGGTGGTTCTCAGGTTGATCTTGCCAACTCCTCTGTTGTTTATGGGGAGACTCGGAGCTGCTTCTGCTGGTAACATACATTTGTGTTTGTGTGTGTCTGTTGCAGGTCAGACATGTGTTGACATCAAGGACAATGTGGTGGATGAAGGGCTCTACTTCACCCCCAAAGGAGATGACCCGTGCCTGAGCTGCACCTGCCATGGAGGGGAGCCAGAGATGTGTGTGGCTGCCCTCTGCGAACGGCCCCAGGGCTGTCAGCAGTACCGCAAGGACCCCAAGGAGTGCTGCAAGTTCATGTGTCTGGACCCAGGTGAGACTGATGCTGGGTCACAAGTCAGCTTCCCCATTCGAGGCCAGAGGCTACATGGCCCATTGCTTCCTCAGTGGCAGGGGCTTGTGAGAGGTGAGAGTCCACAACACATGGCATAGCAGCAATGGCAGCATTTGCCCACAGAGCTGTCTCACACAACCTGGCCTCCTCTAACTGCTGTCTCTCAGGTTGGCTCATTTTAGCTCTTGGGTTACAAGTATTCACTGAAGAACTTGAACTTGAGTGTGGCTGTATGTTCACAAAGCAACTGTAATTGATGACTTCAGAACTATCTTTCCCCTCTCCTTTTAAGACTAAGAGCAAGACTTCCAATTATATCCCAATTTGAGCTCTTCCTGTTCTCTGACTGAGGTGATGTGGTGGGCAGTGACAGTTTTCATTACTTAACAGTAATCAATTTTTGCTGTTAGAATCTTTAAGAAAAAGATTAAATATAAAACTCCTCACTAGGTGGCGCTTTGCAGGTGGACACTATGCAACCATGTGATCTCTGGGTGATATTTCTTCCACTTTAAAAAAAGACCAGCAGGTGGGGCTCCTGCTCTGTAAGACCATGAAGACATACATTAAAGTTCATATAATATACTGGATGGTTCACCACACCAGTGCAGTTGACATCTCTGTATGAATTCACAATCTCAGGAGAAATGTAAACAAAAAGCATAAATTTGTTTTCTGTCTTGGCTGCCACAGTACGAGAGTGATGTGGGTAGAGACTTGTGAAAGGCCCTGGACTCAGAGGCCCTGCAGAAAAGCGGCTTGGTGGGCGTGGTAGCTCTCTCCACCCCTAGGGCCCCATGGATGAAAGGCTGGTTTGCCTAGTGCTAATGGAAACTGGAGCTGGCACATGAGAGCCACAACAGCAAGTGTTCCAGAGCGTAGTCAGGAAGGCTGCTGGCAAGAGGGCAGATCGGTGTCAGAAGCTACTTAAGGCTCAGCAAAAGGGGCTGCTGTGGCCCGTATCCCATCAAAGGTGCACAGTTGGCTGTGGAGAGTGCAGACACCATGTATGACTAGATGTAGGTATACAAGAATGACCAGTCTGTGGGCTGAGTGGCTTGTGAAGCCCGCCCAGCCCTGAAGACTTCTCAGGAGACCAGGGCCCTCAGGACATCTGGGCAGTCCCAGAGCTAGTGCAGGCCACTCCTGTGTAGCCAGAACAGCACAGCCAGGGCCTTTCCCTGCCCCTGGCCTCCGCCTTGCTTCTGCAGGTTCCTGACAGCCTTCCAGGTCAAGTCCCTTCTCCTGGGAAGTGTCCACACTTCCCCAAGGATAGAGGCACTGCCACCAAAACTGGAGATGCTTGCAAAGTGTCCCATTTAACAAGGCAAGTGTGTCTGCTCTCACTACTCTGTTCAGGGTTGTATAGGATGTCAGGTACATGCCCAGTTGCGGGCTTGATCCCCAGTAGGGGATGTGTAGGAGGCAGCTGATCAGTGATTCTCTCATCACTGATGTTTCTTTCTCTATCTCTCCCTTCCTCTCTAAAAACAATTAAAAAATGTATTTTTAAATAAAATAAATACATACAATAATAATAATAATAATAATAATAATAATGCTAGGCTGGCCTGGTCAGTGTGGCTTAGTTGATTGAGTGTCGTACCATGCACCCAGGAGTTGCTGGTTCAGTTCCCATTCAGGGCACATACCTGGGTTGCTGACTCGATCCCCAATAAGGGAGGTACAGGAGACAGCCAGACGATGTTTCTCTCTTATCGATGTTTCTGTCTCACACTCACTCTCCTTCCCTCTCTCTCGGAAGTCAGTAAAAACAAATTTTTAAAAAAGAATGCTAGGATGGAGGGTGAGTCCAGCGCCCTCCACGGAGATGCTGCCTGGGCCCTGAGACCCCACTGCCTCTGCCTGAAGATTTTGGGTACAGTCCAGACTCCAGCTCTGCTGAAACTGTTCTGGAACACCAGGTCCTCCATCGTGGAGCTGGCAGGGACTATGGCCTCGCTTAAGCAGGGACTATGGCCCAGGGTAGAGATGAGCAGGGTGAGCAGATCAGCCGCTCATCTCAGGTTTATCCCTGTGTGAGGACTTGCTTCCAGTGTGTCTCTCCTCCCTGTCCTCTAGATCAGTGCTCGCCAACTGGTGGTCCATGAGGTCTGAAAGATTGGCAACCGCTGCTTTAAGGAAACCTTTGGAGCAACAGGTGCCAACTGGTGGTCCACCGACCACTGGTGGTCCATGAGGTCCGAAAGATTGGCGACTGCTGCTCTAGATCATGAGTGCCAAAATCGAGCCTTTGGCACTGCTGAACACACTTCGATATATCCAGGGTTCCCCACCAACAGCGAGGGTTAGTAGAAGTAGGGTATGGGGAGGTTAAGAATTAGAACAGCTACTGATGGACAAGAGAAGGGGAGGGACTGTAAACAGGGACTCTGAGGGCCCACTAGAGGCCACATCCTCACTCCTCCCTGATCACCGGCCTCCACGTCAAGCACTACTAGGTATAGAGGAGGAGCAAAGAACTCTGGGAGCACCCTGATGGGGCTGGAGCCCAGGTCTGAACTGGGGCCAGGCACATTGCCCCACTGAGCCTCAGTTCCCTCTGTATAGGGACATTTCTCCTCTGTAGGGTTGTGAGAAATCAGGGAGGTGCTGGATGCTGCAGTTTCCTGCCCTTGCTCTCTGAAGCAGTCTGGCTTAGACCATGAGTGCGGGCCTCCTGCTAGGAGAAGGAATCAGCAAATGCCCGTGGACATAGGGCAACTTAGAGAGTGCGGCTCACCCTCAGTCCAATTTGCCTGCAGTCCTGCTCTGTTTGGCACCTCCTATCAAGCTCCTGTGTGGCTTCCAGGAGCTCACACCCAGAAGTACAGATGAGTGGGCACGCGGGCCTCTGGGGAAGACTGAGGGAGGCACAAGCCCCCTCTCCTGACCAGGGAGATGGGCTCTGTGGCACCTGATGCAAGCGAGGGGGTGGGGGGTTGCATCGCCCATCTCATATTAAAAAACTTCTTGGCCATGAGCTGCTTCTCTCCTGTGGTGTTACTATAGTACTAGTGACCCAGTGCACGGATTCATGCACATGGAAATGATATTCATTAGAAGGTGGCTGGTGGGGTGGGACTGGGTAATACAGGCTGGACACGCCCTGGAGCCAACCTCCCGCGGTCCCTCCCCAGCCTCTGCGGAGTAAGTGTGGTCCCTCTGGCAGGGGGGCTCCCTCGGCCTGGCCTGTGGGGATTGGGCTGCAACCGGCTCTCCGACATCCCCCAAGGGGTTCCAGAGTGCGAGAGGGCACTCTGCAAAGTTGCTGTCGTACAGGGTGTGGAACGCAAACACAAGTGTGCAGTAAACCAGATTCGGGGCCAACAGTGCCTCAGCAACAACATAACCCATGGCCGAAGGTGGAATCACACGGCCCCGCGAGGAATCTGGTTCCCTCCTTTCTGGTTTCGGGGTGCGTCACCCAAGAACCGCCGCTGCCAAATCACTGCAGCTTGGCAGCTCCTGCGTTGAGTGTCTGCCCCCTGGTGGTCATTGTGTGTCATAGCAACGGGTTGGATGGTCGGACACTTAGCATATTAGCCTTTTCTAGTATGTATATAGATTCTTGATTTTCAGCTTTCTTGTTTCTGTCATCATAAGATTGAATCGGGAAGTAAGTTGCCTTGTCCACATAGTTGTGTGGTGGAGGGCCATGGCCTTCTCATAGCACTGAGCATCTGGGATCAGGACCTCCTTTTCTGAGAGCAGCGGGGTTTTTCCCTTCTCCTCTAACAGATGGGAATAGCCTGTTCGACTCCATGGCCAGTGGGATGCGTCTCATTGTTAGCTGTATCTCCTCCTTTCTCATCCTGTCCCTGCTGCTTTTCATGGTCCACCGGCTACGCCAGAGGCGCCGGGAGCGCATTGAGTCCCTGATTGGAGCAAACCGTGAGTGCCCCAGCCCCTGCCTATGATGACTACAGTGCAGGCCTGCCCTTGGCTGTGTCCCCAGGGAGAATGGGGACACAGGAAGCAGGAAGGTGCAGGGAGGAAGTAGAGGACATGATGGAGGGTGTGTTTAAACATATTCTAAATAGGAAAAGTACAGTAAAAATACATACAAAAGGTTAAAAATGGTATACCCCTAGAGGCCACCCACCCACCCACTCGCTCCTGGGCTTAGTGCACACCTGGGGCATTAGAGGAGCTCTTTGCAGGACCCGAAATCAGAGTCCATAGGCACATGGAAGAAGGGCGTACCTCCAGTGCCCGCTGACTCTGCGCTTCCCTGCCCTTGCTCTCTGAAGCAGTCTGGCCTAGACCATGAGTGCGGGCCTCCTGCTAGGAGAAGGAATCAGCAAGTGCCCATGGACATAAGGCAACTTCGAGAGTGCGGCTCACCCTCAGTCCAATTTGCCTGCAGTGGCCTGTGACCCCAGTAGAGCTGAAATCATCCCTTGTGTCAGCGAACAAGCCAGGGCTCCCCAGTCCTGGGTGGGGCAGGACAAGACAGGTGCAGGCAGGCAGGAGAGGATTCAGAATCAAGGTGGCAAGAATGCTGAAGGCCCTCACTAGCTTCCATTAGGGGTCTTGGTGTCCCTGGGGAGCCCAGGTCAGGTCTGAAGTGTGGACCAACCAAGTTTTCCACCTGCCTCAGTTCTCACTGAGTTGCAGGGTGGGCAAAACTTCAAGGCAATCATAGGCTAGACACCCAGAAACATTTTAGAGCTGGAGGGGTGTGGTGAGGGCTGGAGCACAGCAGGCAAACCTCTTGCATGTGAATGACAAGCGGGGATGTACCGACCGGGGAAGGAGGCACTGGGCGAGTGTCAGGACTGGTGGGCAGTTAGGCACAAAAGTGTGACAGTCGGAATGTCTGGCCTGGGCAGGGGCAGGGCCTGGGCCTGGGGGAGGCAGGGCTCAGGAGCTGAGTGGTGCATCTTCCAGTGACATGACCCTGTTGCTTGTTTCTCACTTCCATTGCCCAGTGCATCACTTCAACCTTGGCCGGAGGATCCCCGGCTTTGATTATGGCCCAGACGGGTTCGGCACAGGCCTCACGCCGCTACACCTTTCTGATGATGGAGAAGGAGGGACTTTCCACTTCCATGATCCTCCGCCCCCCTACACCGCGTACAAGTACCCAGACATTGACCAGCCTGATGACCCACCGCCACCCTATGAGGCCTCCATCAACCCTGACAGCGTGTTCTACGACCCTGCAGGTGCTTCCCCACAGCGGGAGGGAGCAGCCTGTCACCAACTACTTGGCCTGCAGGGCCAGAGTCTCGGGTCCTCCCCAGCGCACAGGGCTGTGACTCTGCTTCCTCCCAGCCTTCTGTTGCTGTCTCTGGTTTTCCCTTTAAAGTGGAACTGCCACTTGTGGATTGTCAGGCTCTTCCCAGGGGTGCAGGTGCAGATGACTGCTGACAGTGGTCACTGGTCACCCTGCCTCTTACCTCCACCTGGGAGCACACATTAGCAAGCAGCCCTCGGACACCCAGTCCTAGCTCTGTGGAGAGCTGGGGACCGGGCATTGGCAGTCATGGGGATAGGACTGGCACAGAGCCAACGGCTGGGCTGTAAAGACATGCACATGTGGTGAGCGAAGAGACACCACCGTGGCATTCTCTCATGTTCTGAGGCAGCTTTGTGGCGCGGGAAGCAAGCATTGGCTTGGTGATGTTGGGCCAGTTACCTGAGTGTGTTCCTCCCAGGGTTGAGCAACAAAGAAGGGATTGCAGGAGCCTTGCCCATTGCCTGGCCTGCCCCTGCCCCTGTCCCTGGTGTGTAGTGCAGATGTCCCACTCTTCCCTGTGTGTTACCCTGTAGCACACACATACCCCCACCATACATTGCAAGCAGTGGCCCACCCCAGGGCTGCTGGCTCTTTGCATATCCACACAGCACAGCAGGATGGCGTGAGGCCAGCACTGCTGTGATCTGTGTGCTGTTGGTTCATTTGGTCGGCTAGTACCTCTCCCAGTCTGTGTGGGCAGGAGAAGCTTGGATTTAACCCCAGCCGTCGGGACGGGTTGTCGCCATCTGCTGTCAGGGGACCAGGGTAGAGCAAGCTTCCTACCGGGGATGCTGCTGGGGACCCAGCGCCTCCATGGACCAGGCTGCAGGGGAGCAAATGGTCCCAGGGCAGGGCAGCAGGACTGCTGGGCCCATGGGGAGTTGGCCAGGAGAGGGACACAGACTGGGCCCCGTGCCATGCCTGAGCCGAAAGACAGAGCCTGTGGTGATAAGGAGCAGGCACGCCAAAAAGAATGGGCTGCTGTAGAGCGGCTGTCAGACCAGAGCTGTCTGCAGGCCCCTGCACAGTTTACGGGGCTGCCTGCCCGGGCCCCATCTCATGCTCTCGTGCTCTTGTTCCCATATTCCAGCTGCAGCTTCTGGTCGGGGCTGTGAGCACTGTTCCACCTGCCCACCTAAGCCCAGTAATGCCCTAATGTCACGTGGGTCCTGGTTCAACCTCCACTGAATCTGAAAGGGTTTCCTCGTCCCCTAGCTTTATTCTCCTAACTCTGTCAAAGTGTGTACCAGTCACACACTGGGGCTTGCTCATAACTGTCCGCCTGCACCTTGCACCATGACAGCTGTGACTGTGGTAGGGCTGAGGGGTGAGCACAGCAGAGCCACAGCTTCAGTGGGAACATTCAGGCAAGAGAAGTGTCCCCCAGTTCTGTCTCCCTTCCCTCTTGCCTCGTGCCAGGCCCATCCACCACCCTGCTGACACCCCTCTGTCTCCTCCTGTAGATGACGATGCTTTCGAGCCAGCGGAGGCCAGCCCGCCAGCCCCAGGGGATGGTGACAGTGAAGGTGCGTCACCCCGGTGCCTGGAGCAGCCTCTGCCCTCTGCAGGGGTCACCCTGGCAGACCTGGAAGACTCAGCTGACAGCAGCAGCATTCTGCTCGTACCCCCCGACCCTGCCCAGAGTGGGACGCCCCCAGCCACAGAGGCACTGCCAGGAGTTGGCCGCCACAGCCGCAGTTCCCTCAATACCGTGGTGTAGCGGATGCCCAGCCCATGGCCCCAAGGGGCCTGGAGCACCTGTTTGCTGTCAAGGAAACTCTGATTCCCGTGGAGACTTGAAGAGCCCTATGTGAGCCTGGACTCGGCTGCACTGCTGCACACACTCCCCTGCAGGTGTGCCCGTGCTTGTAGAGACTGCGCCAGCCTCCCAAGGGAGCGAGCACCTGCATCCAGTCTCCTTGAGGGCTTCAAACACATGCATAGCTTTGGGTCACTGTCTTTTTCTTTTCAAATGACAGAAGAATGGCAGTTTGTTCATGCCACACGTTTCAGAAGTAGGGAACAAAGAAGGTACTGCGGGCCCAGGTAGAGGCCAAACCACACCAGACTGGTGGGCTTGCTCGTGGCAACACGTTGTTCAGAGGAGCATGCTGCCCAGCCACCAAGCCCCAGAGCTGCCACAGTGTGCCTCGCTGGCCGCTGCCCAGGAAGCACCAGTGTTTGTGGACTGTCAGGATTGTCTGGGCAGTGAGTCTGCTTCCGGGCAGACAGCCTTGAGAGTTGCTCCAATGGCTGCTCTGAGGATGGCCCCTCACAGGTCTAGCTTGAACATCGAGGGTGACCCTGTCTTAGCTCTGGTGCCCAAACCCTAAGAAGGGGAGCTTGGAAGGAGGTTGAACTCCACTCTGTCTTTCCAGCGGGGCTCTGCAAAGCCCAGTTCTGTGCCAGAAATCCCTATCCCTAGTCTGTTGGATTTCTCCCTAACATTACCGTGCATGGCCCCCCAGGAGGCAGCTCTGGAGCTGGGCTGAGGCCCTTAGCCATGCATGAGTGTCCTGGCCCTGGACCCTTCACTGGGCTTGAGGGCTAAGCCAGCTCCTGTTACCCTTTGGAGCCCCCTCCTATTGAATTTGCCCCTGGACCTGGCCTGCCCCACCCCCCTCTTGTGCCATAAAGGTTTATTTGGGGGGAGGGGTGGCTGAAATTAACATCCTGGGCTGTGTCCACTTCCTGAAAGTCAGTCCACTTCTTGCACATCACCACCACCACTAGAGCTGAGTGCCTGGTGGCTGCTTGCCACCTTCCTGTCCTTAGCACAGGGTGCTGGGTGCCCTGCTCAGGGGCCTTTTGACTGAGGGACCCTGTTGCCTACTCCTGAGCAGTGGTCTTGTCTCCTGACACCAGGCTTTTAGCATTTCTGAGGTTTGGAGATTAAGCGGGTTCTGTGCGATTTTTTAGCACATCCATATCTTTTCTACGTTGAATGTCTAGATCTTTTTTGCGTGTGTGTGTGTGTGTGTGTGTGTGTATGTATGAGTGTGTATGTGTACGTATATGTCCAAGTGTTTGCAGGTGGTGATGGTACACAGGAACTCCATCTTCAATTTCCTGGGCCAACATGGCCTCTTGGGTGGCACTGAGGCATGGCCAGGTCTGTGCCTCTTCTGAGGCAGGTTCTCATGCTCATCTTCCTAACTCGTTCTGTGCGTTTTAGCACATCCATATCTTTTCTACATTGAATGTCTAGATCTTTTTTGCGTGTGTGTGTGTGTGTGTGTGTGTGTATGTATGAGTGTGTATGTGTACGTATATGTCCAAGTGTTTGCAGGTGGTGATGGTACACAGGAACTCCATCTTCAATTTCCTGGGCCAACATGGCCTCTTGGGTGGCACTGAGGCATGGCCAGGTCTGTGCCTCTTCTGAGGCAGGTTCTCATGCTCATCTTCCTAACTCAGCCGCCCAGCTCCTGGTCCTCCTCTAAGCCTTTCTGTACCAGCCTGCAGCTAGGAGAGCTGGCTTTCAGTGGGAGCTTCCATGGTGGTCTGACGACAGACCTCACAGGCTCAGCCCAGTTCTAGGCACATTTTCATACTTTGGTTGGAAACCAGTTTTGTTCTTGAGTAGTCCCACAAGGCTGACCAGAGATATGAGTTTTGTCACTGAACTGCCTGTCCTTGGGCTCGGCCCGCAGAAGCCAGAGTGTGTGCTCCCCTTGCCAGAGGGCTGCTACTTGGAGAAGGGCATCCTGGGCACATGTGCCCATGCTGGCTCCTGAAAACAAAACAGGAAGTGGGTGGTGCCTCCAACGTGTGCTGGACACAGGGCTGCCAATTTCCAGAGCAGCAGTCACAGCCTTGTGGGTTAGGGTCCTTAGTGGGCCTACTTTGAAATGACCACCCCAATGGAATCCTGTAGGGTCTGGCCCCCACAGCACCAGGTCCCCTTATTCCAGTGTCCCTGGCCCAGGCTTCAGCTGTGTGTACAGGGCAGTGGCTAGCACTAGATGTGTGGGACTGGGGAACTTGCGGACTGAAAGATTGCTGGGGACTGGCATGCAGGAGGTACTAAGGAGAGGGCCTTGAATCAGATCATGGGGCTGCAGAGGGTGGGCCCAGAGTGTTCAGCCTACTGGCATTCTTGGGCTGGGCAGAAGGCTGCCCGCTGCCCACTGAGTCTCCCAGAGCTGAGCTCTGCTTAAAGGTGGTTGTGAGGGCATCGGGGAAAGCTGTGGTCTGTCTGGCTGACCTTGGCCTCCTGTCCATTCACCACCCTTTGTAAGATCTGATTGTGCTCCAGGTCCAACCCTGGCTGAGACTCTTGTGTTCCTGTGAGAGGACTCCCCACCTGATGCACATTGGGCCTCCAGAGGGACAGGCTAAGGTCTCGGGAGGGCCTCCTCCCCAAGAACCTGACCTGTCTATGGAGGTGGGAGTGAATCTGTACATTGTCTCAATGCCTGTTTTTTATGTTTTCCTTTCACTAAGGGTTTTTAGTTTGGGTTTATTTTTGGTTAGGTTGGCACTAATCCTTAAGATGCTGTGAGAACCATTTCATCCAAATGCCAAATAAATTTGTGTTCTGGAAGAGGCATAGTCAGTCCTCGGTGTGACTCACGTTGGGAGTGAGAGGCTCTGGCCAAGATGGAGCCAAGGCACAGGTGCGGAGATGGGGAAGGGGCAGGCTTGGGGCTCTGAGACCCCTCTGTCCCTTCTTTCCTCAGTGGTCCTTTCAATAACTTAGTAGTACGTGACGTGGGACAAGAGGGCACCCAGGGCACTCAACCTTTGGCAGGTCTTCATGCTCATCTTCCTAACCCAGCTTCCTGGCCAGACCAGTGAGTCCCTTGGAGGGGATAGGAGCTTCAAGGTGGCCCCTCGTTCCTGAACACATCAGTGGGATGGCAGGCTGTCCTGGGCACCCTGGGTGCTGTCAGCGCCGAGGACAGCTCCGCTGGGTACCCCAAAGAGAGAAGAGCCCAGCCCTCTGGGGATTGGAAAGAGGCGCAGGGTGCAGACCTATCCCCCACCTCACACACACACACACAGTCGGGGTCACACCTGTGAGCACAACGAGCTCTTTCCAGAAAGTGTTGCCTTTTCTCCTGGCCACCCTGAAAGGAGAAATCAGAGCCTCCCTTTCCAGGAGAGTGACCTGTGGCTCGGGCCCCAGCCTGAGGTCCTGTCCACAACCGCTGAGGAAGCCCAGTCCACTCACTGACTTGGGCTGGTCAAAGGGTGCCAGCTGTGGCTTCCTGGAGACCTGTTTTGGGGGTGGTCCTCCGAAGGAGGTAAAGCCGAGCTCCATCACACATGGGTCAGTGGGGGAGCTGGTCAGAGGACATCTGGTCTTGGGGTATCCTAGGCTGCTCCAGTGTAGGAGACCCTCCTATGCCCCCCCATTCCAGCCCCTCAAGTCAAGGCCACTAGGATCCAGGTGCCTTCTCCCTTGGATTTCCATCTTGGTGGCCTTGCCTTGTCACTCCTGGTCCCTGTAAATGGGCATCTTTATCGCTCTCACTCCTAGGAGGGTTAATGGGGGGCAAGGGAGAGTTGCACAAAGCTTTTAGCTTCAGGAAATGGCAGTTGTTCCTGGCATGCATCCCTAGTATCAGAGCCTGGTGAGCCCAGACTCCCTCTTCCCTTCTGTTGGCCCCGCCCAGGCACTGCCCCTCTGACCCACATCAAAAGCCTACAGAATATAGCCATGCCCACCTGGCCAATACATACACGGCTGCACCAGCCTCCACCCTACCATTCCTGCCAGGGCGCTACAGCAGCCGCACCACGGCCCCTGCCTTCACGCCCACCTTCCTCACAGTGTTGCAGGTGGTGTGTGCGAACTCAGAGGGTGAGTACCAGAACTCTGAATCCCCAATCCGCACCCCCTGACCTAAGCCACACATCCCCACATATTCACCTGCAGGCAGACTGCCCCACAGGGAAAGAAGGCAAAAGATGTGGCACATGGCCACATACCTACAGTGGGGACTTCCACCACCGGCTCACATGTGGGCTAACTGTCCCTTCATGCTATTCAGACAAGAGACCCCTAAGTGACCCTCCACAACCCCACCACAGCCAGTTTCAGAGCCCCATCCAGAACCCCCAGGTCTCCCAGAGAAGCACCCCCACTCCCAACCTACACACTGTCTGAATCCCTGGTGAGATGAATGGAGAAACGTTAGCAGGTTCCAAACATACCAGCTGCCCTGGCCAGGTGGCTTGGCTGATTGGAGCATCATCCTGTGCACCAAAAGGTTGTGGGTTCAATTCCCTGCCAGGGCACATACCTAGGTTGTGGGTTCTATCCCCAGTTGGGGCACATACAGAAAGCAACCAGATTGATATTTCTCTCTCCCTCTCCTCCTTTCTCTAAACATCAATAAAAACATGTCTTCAGGTAAGGAATGAATGAAGAAAATAGATTAAAACACCAACACCTGCTAAAGCCTAAGATTACGCATTTTATTTCAAAAATGAGCAGGCATTGACCCCAGGCCACTGTGAGCGATTAAAGGAAGACTCCAGGTAACGTTCCCTGGAGGCCAGGAGGGGAGAAGCGCTGGTTCCATGTTCTGCAAGGCTGCCCTGGGTGGGTGGGTCCTGGTGACAGGGACGGCTGCACCCAGACGACACTGGGAGCTTAGCCTGTGGAGTCTGCGTGTACATGACACTTTCTGAAGAGACATGGGTGTCCAGGTGACTGCCTGTGGGAGGCTAATGAAGGGGTAAGGGTCCTAGGTGTCGCTGTCCAAAGCAAAGCTGAGACTGCCGTGTGGCTGCTGACCAGCTGCCTCTGAGAGCCGCGCTGTCCTGTGGGAGGCCGGTTTGGTGGTCAGTAGAGTGAAGCTGGCCGTCTGGCCGCTGTGCAGTGGGTGCCTGTGGAATGTGGCTGTATATCTAGGTGACACTGATCTGAGTGGCACTGTGTCCAGGAGACACTGTTCCAGCAGCCCACGTGTCCCCGGTGTCTGCTGCTGGGTGTGTGGTCACACTCCATGTCCCAGTGCATGGAGGCCCGGCCTTTTCCCAAACCCTTAAAGAAAAGGGAAAAAAAAAACCCTGCAACCCCCTCCTCCTAGCCCGAGGGGTCCCACCTGCTGCAAGCCCTCGGCTCTCCCTGGAGGCTGACATGCCCCAGGACCAAATATTCCCCAGCTCAGAGGCCATAAGGGGCTCCAGGCCTCCTCCAGCCCGGACTTGGTCTCCAGAAGTTATCGCTGGCTGCACTGAGCCAGGTCCCCGAGGGGACAGATCTGTCCATTCACCCCTCCGCCAGTGGGGCCTCCAGCACTGCGCCTAGCTCCCCCTCCGTGCGGCCACCCTCAATCCCCACCACCCGGCGGGGCCCCGGTGGGCACCGGCGTCTTCTTGAGGTTCTT